GATTTACGTAGTTTTACGCTAAATTTTACGTAAGTTTACGATTTTCTTACGCACCGTAAAAACTTACGAAAGTTTACACATATATATTTTTGCTGATGTATACCTTCATAATATCTTCAAATAAGCTATTTTGTTTCGATATTTGTTGATATAAATTTAGCTACTTTATTCCTAGTTTTATTTCTAGGCAATTAAAAAGCTTGGGATTGGTAATATTATTTGAATTATCTAAAAAAAATAAAAATTTGTAAGTATATAATATAAAAGAGAAGAGAAATTACATTTCATTCTGGGTTAAAGTTACCCAAACTATATAAAATACTATAGTATTAATTCTAGTTACATGCTAGTTATTATAGCTTATCAGATAACTTTAATCTGGATGAAAATAAAAAAAATGCAATATGTATTTTTACCCTTGAATTGGAATTGATTGAATATATTATTTGAATGATGTATTGATAAGCTATAGTTATTAATACACCAACCAGATAATAAATATCGAAGTTGTGATATAGTAATTAATGGCATAAAAATAGATCGTGTTGAATAATGAGGCATTCAATTATCTATTTTACCATCTACAAGATGCTTTAAAGTTTGTAATGTATTAATTTGCTATAATAAAGTAAGTTTCAAATTACATTTGTTGGTGTGTAGAACTATTGCTTTAAATATTCGATGCACCATTTCTTTTATACCAACTGCTATATTTATACAGGTTGCATATTAACATGCAGAATCTATTAAATGGTGGCTTATATATAAATTAGGAAGATTCTTAAAACTATTAGGAAAAAGCTAATAATAAAATAAATCAATAATTTATTATTTTTTATAATTAAATTTTTAAATATAAAATATAGTTTGTAGATGTGAATATCCATTAGATCATTATATAGTTAAAGAAAATACTTCTTTAGCTACTTTAGCAGATAGCACCCAAGTATGAATAATATAATCATGTACTTCTGTTTAATAAAAAAATTATAATCTATTACGTGTAGATTTTAAAAAATCATCCTTGATACTATTAATAGTTAAGCAACGGTTTAAGATAAAAGAAAAGATCATAAGAATCTTTAAATTATCTAACATCATAAATGAATGTCGATGAGTAATTAGATTTGGTAAGCAAAACCATTGTGTTGGGTTTCAAAGTTTTTTCAATAATTGATTAGATTATTTTGTCCATACAATGTTAAAATTGAACAGGTGCAGTCAAGTAGCCAAGCTACTTTTCTCGCAATTGCATGATATGCATCTTGTGGAATATGCATATGACGGTTATGCAAAATTGGATCTAATAGTCTAGGCAAAAGCCTTAATCCATATTGAGAACAAAGTCTTGACTTTGCATTTTTTGAAGTTTGCTAACTTATATACTGAAACTCTTAATCTATTATTTGATGATAATGACTATGATAATAAATATCAAATGAAAGATTTGTAAATTAATCTTTAGTTGCTTTACATATTCAACAGCCTTGGTATGCATTATGGCATAATGTTCCAGAAATGTCATTTTCCTGAGGAAGATTCGAAGTAACAATACCTAATCCTCCCATTACTCAATGATCAATACCATTTAAATTAATTACAAACCCTTGTTCAAGTATTTTGACTTCTTCAATAAAAGGTTTAATTAAGTCTTGAATATTTCTCCCAAAAGGTACAAATCTAATAACAAAATGATTATGAAGTTGCTTTCTTAACTTATATGGCATATTACCAATTTGTAGATAAATGCCATCTAGTGAGTGATACATATTTTTAAAGGTACTGAAATCATCATAGTACAAATCTAAAAAGAATTTCAAAACTGGCATAGTTGAATTAGGTGGTGAATTTGTTGATATATATTCAGATAGATGTCGATTTCGAAATTTAATAGGGTAATACTTTCAAGATCCATTAAAGCAATATAAAACTTCATTTATAGATATATTAAAAAATAGAGATGGTAACTAATCCTTAAGCCAAACCATGATTTTCTGTATTAAAAAAGATGGTTCTATAATATGGTCATTTGTTTCTTCAACTAAAAACTATTCTTGAGCCTGTAGTGCATATTCTAAAGAATATAAATTTTGTGGAATTCTACTATAAGGAAGTAGTTGCTGTATTTGAATTTTTATTAAATTGTCTTTAATAACAATTGACCGAATTCGACCATATTGTATTTCACATGAAAAATATTGAATGAAGTCAACACACTTAAAAGATTCTAAATTAATTAAAAATTTTTGTTAACATTAATTATTATATTTAATTGTATAAATATTTTAATTCAATTATTTACCTTGTATAGTTGTTATGTACGATTGGCCAAAAAGAGGCAATTCCACTTAAAGATTCCCTTTCCACAATTCTTCACATAATTCAGAAAGAATTCCTGGTCCAAAGTATAAGTGAGAACTAATATTAGAATTTTTTAATATACGATAAAGATACTCTATTAAAGAAAAGCAATAAGCTTTTGTAAAACTTTTAGTTGTAGATGGTGTGTTTCAAGTATTAATTGGAACTTTATAACTTTGAATTTGCATATAAGGAAGCTTTTCTCAATATTTTTTGAATATTTGTAAATTAGTAACCAAATGATTTTTATCAAATCGTGGGTGAAGTAAGATTTAAATCAGATCATGATAAGCAGATTTTGCTTAAAGAGAAAGAGAAAATAATTAAAATTAAATACTTATATTTAAAATTTATTAAATTTTATACAAGTACTTACATATCATATATTTTATAACCCACATGAACATTGCCATAGCTATGAAGTTTTTGAATATACCAAATTAGGGTTGCATTAGTCCGGTTCCTAAGAAGACCATTATCATAGTACTTACGGTCTGGTCTGGTCCAGCCCTTTGGTTCCATAATAGTCCTTTAATGATTATGTCAATCTTAATGTATAAGATTTTATTGGCCAAAAATGATATAATTATTTACCGTCAGATGTAAACAAACATCATGTGATCTATGTTATACCTAATCAAGAAATTTGATTAGATGATACTAACATCACAGTTATGTTTACAAGGACTGGTCCCAGGACTGGTCCTTTAATAGTCCCACGGTCCTTATCAGTCCTGGTCCTAAACCGGTCCGGACTGGTCTTTTTCAGAACCGATGCAACTCTATACCAAATTGATCTTCTGAATCCCATATTATATTAAAATTTGTCTCATCAAATATTTTTGTGAAAGTTGTTTCATCTTCAGAGATACTATTATTTGAATTAGTATTACAAAACTCATTATTATATTCTATATTATCATAAAACTCATTATCGTATTCTATATTGTCACAAAACTCATTATCGTATTTTATATTATCATGAAACTCATTGTTGTTATCCTAGTCTGAAGTATTGCTATATCCAAATTCATAATTTTTATGTTGCCAATTTTGGTTATCACTTAAATTTTCTTGCTGTGGCCCATTATTTTTATGCAATGTCAAAATATTTTCTTGGCTAAAAGTTGGATACTTTGTAGTTTTAAGTACTTTTAGACGAAATTGTGAAGTTTCGAATTGCAAAAAGTGGTGTCTAGACATACTTTGAATAAGTTAGAAAAAGTTTTATTATTTTTAAAATTCATATATATATTAATTTATGCATTAATATAATACGTAATACACGTGATACAACGTCAAAATACTAATTAGTTAATGTTAACAAAGTTTAATATTATACAATAGAACTAAAATGATTATGCAAATATGTAGTAAAGATACTAGTCTAAATATTATGCAATTGTAACCGTATTTATCTGTTATATAAAATAAATTCTTTTTTTTTTTTAAAAAAAAAAATTTCTTACTAAATATGGCAAAAACTCTAGCCAGAAAAACTACAAATACAAAAAAATCAAAAAAAAGGAAATAACTAGTAAATACTTATAAAAACTTTTACAAATATAATGTATTAATATTAATAAATATTATTATTTTTAGAATTATTTGATGAAGAGACTTCTAGACAACAAGAAATATTTAAAACAAATGAATGGTTATTTTTTTTTATAAAATTTAATTTTCAATATGTGTATTAATGAGATTTGACATTAAAATTTATTTTATAAATTATTTATACTGTTTAAACAAATTTAATGAACCTACTCATATTCCATTTGAGCTGATGAATTTTAATAATACTGTACTAATGCCAACTGCTCAATCAATTCAACAAAGTCAAGATTTTTATAATCATAATGATTATTCGTCAAGTTATGCAAGTCATACAAGATCACCATACAATGTTGATAACATTGATCCAGACATCAGCAAAAAAAATAGACCGATATATATCGATTACTAGCCGGGTAATTATATATCAATACCAATCACCCCTGCCGA